AAGGAAGGAAGGAAGGAAGGAAGGAAGGAAGGAAGGAAGGAAGAAAGGAAGGAAGGAAGGAAGGAAGGAAAGAAATGCTTCTCCTAGAAAAATGTGTTTCTTATTTTTTTTTTAACACTTCATCAATTTTCTAAACAATTCCATCAGCTCAGATCATCTAGGAATTTAGCAGACAAATAACATTATACATGTCCAGAAGTTCCATGGGAACAAAATAACAACAAAAGATTTAGTATTCAAGGATTCAATAAAGACTAAATGTCATGCGCCAGATGCTATGTTATACAATGGGACTATAACACTGGAAAAGAAAAGTGTTCTGTCCTCATGGAGCTTCTAGTTGGTAACTCACTCCATGGAAGACCCAAGGTAGGATATATTCCCTACCACACTGATCACATACTGGCCCCTGTTATAAATCTCTAGGTAGCTCAGTACTCACACTAAGGTTGAATAGTTGAACTAACCACATGTAAAGGGACTCCATAGGGCACTGAAAAGCATCAGTGGCTGTCAGCTAGGGCAGAGGCCACGAGAGCGACATCCAGAAAAAAATCTCTGTGTGTGTGTGTGTGTGTGTGTGTGTGTGGGTGGGTGTGTGTGTGTGTGTTCACTCTTCAAAAATAAAACAGTTTTTCTGATATTTCATTTTCTTTTAATAATATGTCTTGTAAATTCTTTGTTATCAATATATATAGACTTGCATCACTATTTTCAAAAACTGCATTCTTTTCCATTTTATAGTATAAAATTGTAATTTTACGACATCCTCTACAACCTGATCATTTTCATTAATTTATTATTTAATAGTTATGCAATTTTAATTATGCATACATGTGCATATGTATGTATATATACCTATGTTTTTGTATGCCTATATATACATATATTGTGAATAACACAACACATAAAACCATAACCATGACAGTTATGTATAATAGCACTGAAGAAGTGCAGGATATGGGCTTTTAAATTTTGGGCAAATGAGGAGGTTGAGGCAGGGGAATGCTACTGCCCAGGAGTTCATGGCCCACATTAGGGAACACAGCAAGACCCTGACTGAAAAATAAATAAATAAAATGAATATAATATAAATAAATAAACTATGCTTATATTCCTGATATAAAAACTCTTCATTTATATATAATCAGCATAATAGGCCTTCTAATGAGATCCTAGATTCTCCAAGTCTATAATATTGAAGACTTCTGCATTTATAATCATAAGTAGAAATAATCCCTGTTTTTTTTTCTGTACCATCTTATCTGATGTTGGTATCAATATTAGACTGCCCTCATATAAACAATCTGGGAAGGAATCTTCACAATTTACAGATCTTTAAAAAGCATAAGAATACCATGACCATCTAGGAGTATGTGAAGGAACTATAGAAAGGAAAAAAGAAAAACAAATACATACTGAGAAAATACATGAAAGACTCATATCACATACAAGGGGATGTTTTTTATAATATGTAAAGAATTCCAACATAATAATAAGAAGAAAGCCAATACATTTAATAAGCAGAAAGGCAAAGAACATATATTAATAGAAAAAATATAAATGACTTATATATGTATAAAAAATGCTCAATTGCATTTAATAACATAATAAGACAAATGTACATTAAAATTATTATCAGATCAGGTTGGCAAGAATAAAATAAGTTATATTTCCCCTTGTTGACAAGGTATGGGAAAAGAGAGAACCTTATACACATAACTTCCATGATTAACTTCTGTGAAGAATGATTTGGGAAAATCTCAAATATTTATGCCCTTTGAACCAGCAATTTCATTTTCATAAACTTCTCTTAGATTTATTCACATGTATTTGAAGTGAAATATTAAAATAATAAGTATTGAGTGCTCACTAYGTACAATCTAAATTCAAGCCCTTCATAAGTATAAGCAAATATAAGTCTAATAATTCTGAGGCAGGCCTAATCATTCTGTTTTTAGAGCTTAAGAAATTAGGTATGAGGAGATAAAGGTACTTTCCTTAAATAAAACAAGGTGTGAAAATAAAATATAGGTGGCCTAGGTCTGGATTTCCATATTCTTGAACAACTATAATATGCTACTTCTCAATGTGAACAGTGATATTTATAATTGCATTGGCTATGTATGACAAACAAATGCCTATTAAGAGTGACCTGTATAAGTAAATTCCAAACAGTAGAAAACACATAGCATTTTAAATGAATGTCAAAACATCAAAGCTCTTTCAGGAAGTGAAATGAAAGGACTGCCAATATATATAGTAAAGAAAGCAAACAGCAAAACAATAATATATATGTATATATAATGTACATACATGGAGCAATATTATATATATTATACATGCAAAATAAATGCTTGCTCAGGCATTGACTATCTCCAGAAGGTATACAAAAAACTATCAACATCAGTTATATGGAAAGGGAATTAGGGTTGGGGTCATGGCTTAGGGGTAGAGCACCTGTCTAGCATGTGTGAGGCACTGGGTTCAATTCTCAGCACCACATATAAACAAACAAACAAACAAATAAATAAAACAAAGGTCCACTGACAAAAATATTTAAATATTTAAAAAATATATATTTTTAAAAAAGGGGGAACTTATTATATGGCTGGGAGACCACGGAGGAARAAGCACTCATTTTTTAMTTTTATATATATGCATGTAGATCTAGTCAATAAAAATATTTAAAAAGATAAAAAAGTGAAATGTATAAAGCAAAAATTTTTAAAAAACTACTTTGCCATTATCTATTTATTTTAGATATAGTTCATCCACACAAGCTTTTACTTGAAGGAATTACTCCATAAGTACCACAAGTTTGGAAAACACTGGAACAAAGAATGATTAATGAAGCTTAAAGTTCACAGGAAATGTGAAGGATAAAAACTCATGAAAATAATGTCATACCTGATACGTGCATTACAGTATCTTTTGGCATAGTCAGTCCATGTTCCAAATTTTTGTGGAAAAAGAGCTTCAATCTGCATGAAAAGCTGTAACAATACAATATACTCAATAAGTTGAAATATTCTCAAGTATTATTATGGTGATAAAATAAGTTAATAAAATATTACAATGTATAAAATAAAATCTACTACTTCTTCTTCAGTACCTCTTCTCTCTTTCCACCCACCCATCCATTCTTCAGGAGCAACAGTTATGTGTTTCTTAAACATAAACATTTTTTCATACCTACATGGCATATATATATATATGTATATATATACTCTTTTATTACAAGAGGATCATATTATCCATATTGTTACTTAAATAAAATTTTGTCCCCCAAATATATCTTTATGTCCCCTAAACATGTAAAGTACATACACATTTTTATTTGGTTTGAAAAATTATATAACCAATGCAATATGATAATAAAGTACTATTTAGAGGTTAAATAGCCACCCATTATTAAGTATACATATTGTTAATATTTAAACAGATTCCTGACATTGAATATAAAAGCTATTTCTAGTTTTTATGTAATTACAAAAATTAATAACATCATAAAATTCTGTGGATGTATATGTATCAACTATCTATCTGTTATCCATCTACATTTATTTATTAATTTGTATATGTATTTTGGTCCCAGGGATTGAACCCAGGGGAACTTAACCATTGAGCCACAACCCCAAGCCATTTTTATATTTTACTTAGAGACAGAGTCTTGCTAAGTTGCTTAGGGCTTCACTAAAACTTGCTGAAGTGGGCTTTGAACTTGTAATCCTCCTGTCTCAGCCTCCCCAGTCTCTGGGATTACAGACATACGCCACCATACCTGGCCTACCTTTATTTTTATTGGATGAGTTTCGTGGAATATGTTTTTAGAAGTGGAAAAGTTGAAATTAAGCCATGTTTTTCACTTTCCAATTTTAATTTTTAATAAATTTATTTACTTACTTTGCTGCCTTATGATTTTACAAAATAGTAGAATTCATTAAGTATTTTATACACACACACACATAATATAATTTGGTCATATTCAGTGCCCATTACGTCTCCCTTTCTTCCCCTCTTCTCTCCCCCTGATTCTCATCCTCTATTCCACTGGTCCCCCTTCTTTGTTCATGAAAATCCTTTTCTTTTGTCCTTTTTTCCCCCTCTGTCTTCCACATAATATGAGAGAAAACAAATAATCTTTGACTTTCTGAGTCTTGTTTATTTTACTTAACATGAAGCTCTCCAGTTCCTTCCATTTTTCTGGAAATGACTTTAGTTTTTATTTATGGCTGTGTAAAACTCCATTGTGTATGTATACCACATTTTCTTTATCCCTTCATCTGTTTACAACACCTAGGTTTGTTCCATAACGTGGCTATTATGAATTGTGCTGCTATAAACATGGGTATGCATGTATTAGTATAGTATGCTGACTTTAGTTCTTTTGGAGAAATACTGAGGAGTGGAATAGCTGAGTAACATGGTGGTTCCATTCCTTGTCTTTTGAGAAATCTCCATACTGATTTCCATAACAAATATGCTAATTTACAATCCCACATAACTCTGTAAGTGTTCCTTTTCCCCTTGCATCCTCACCAGCTTTATTATTTGTATTCTTGATGATTATTAAAAAACAGTCTTAAAACTTGATGGATATTGGGCTGGATTGCAGCTCAGTGGTAGAGCGCTCGCCTAGCATGTGCGAGGCCATGGGTTCGAACCTCAGCACCACATAAAAATAAAGGTATTGTGTCCAACTACAACTAAAAAATAAATATTTAAAAAAAAAACTTGATTGATGTTACCCTGTTGGCCCATGAAGACTATCCCAATTCATCCTCACATTAATAATGTCATTTTTTTTCATTTTTCAACTCTGATAGGCTACACATAGTAGTTTATATTGTTATTTTAAAATAGTGTTATTGAGATATAACTCATAAATGTAAAGTTCATACTTGGTTAGTACACAATTCAATGGCTTTTAGTATATTCACAAAGTTGTGCATTAATCACCACTATCTTTTGAACTATTTTTCTCAACCTCCGAAGAAAGAAAAAGATAAAAATTGCATGATATATTAATAGATACAAAAAAGTACTAGATAAAATTTAATATCCCTTCAGAATTAAATACTCAGTAAAAAAGAATTAGAAAGGAACTCCCTCAACTTGAATCTTGGATAAACTCAAATACCATTATACTTATAGTAAAAGGCTGAATCATTGAGATTGGAAAGAAAGAAGTAAAACTATCACTCTCAATAGGTGACATGATCTTATATAGAAAACCTTAAATGATATTAAACTAATAAATAAGTTCAGCAAGTTTGCAAGGTATATGCTAAATCCACAAAATTAAATTGTTATCTCTATACCACAATAAACAATCAAAAACGAAATTGAGAAAAATTTCATTTATAGTGAAATAAAAAAAATAGGATTAAATTTAACAGAAGCATCATAAGATGTGAAAATTACAAAGTACTATTGGGGAAAAATAAATAAGACTTACAAATGAATAGAAATATATCTCATGCTCATAGATTTGAAGACTAAATATTGTTAAGATGGAAATACTCTCCAAAACAATCAATACATTCAACATGGTACTTGTAACAATTAAAGCTGAATTCTTTGCAAAAACTGACAAACCTGATAAAAAAACAAAATTTATAAGAAGATTCTAGGGACCCAGAATATCCAAAATAATCTTGAAAAAGAATAACAAGGGCTGGGGTTGTGGCTCAGTGGTGGAACACTTGCCTAGCATGTGTGAGCCACTGGGTTCAATCCTCAGCACCACATAAAGACTATTTGTCTTTATAAATAAATAAAGGTATTGTATCCATCTACAACTAAAACATTAAAAAAAAAAAAAAAAGAATAACAAAATTGGAGGATTCACACTTCCCCATATCAAAATCCCTAACTTATCATTTGAAATCTTATATTCCTTTTTTTCCCCCCTCCTTATGGCATCCACTCCTTGGAAAAAAGTGATTGTCTCTCTCAGAAGAACATAGTTCCTCCATTTTGCCACAGTCCCTTCTCACATGTATGTTACCTGTCATCTATATTCTTTTTCTTTTCCTTTTTTGGTACTGGGGATTGAACTCAGGAGCACTCAACCACTGAGCCACATCCCCAGCCTAATTTTTGTATTTTATTTAGAGACAGGGTTACATTGAGTTGTTTAGCACCTCACTTAATTGCTGAGGCGGCTTTGAACTAGCAATCCTCCTGTCTCCACCTCCCAAGCCACTGGGTTTACAGGCATGCACCACCATTCCTGGCCAATATTATTTTTCTTAGAGAGTCCTGAAAACAAACTTTACATTTATCACCCTTGCTTTAACAGTGGCTACATTGGGTAAAGGGTGAAACTATGGACACATGACCACAGTGGGACACAGGGGCACTGTTATACTGTCAATGTTCTATTTCTCATGCTAGATAATAAGTAGATGGTATTCATTATATTTTTGTTATTTTAAATAGATGTTTGTTACATATTCTCTTTCTTGTACTAATACATTTCATGATTTTTTTAAAGGTATAGTCACCATTATAATTACGATTATCATTATTATTATTTTGTGTTACTGGGGATTGAAACTAAGAGTGTTCTATCCCTGAATTGATTCTACTGTCCTCAACATCTCTTAATTTTTATTGTGAGACAGAGTCTCACTAAATTATCTGGGCTGGCTTCAAACTCATGATCCTCTTTCCTCAGCCTCCCAAGTTGTTGGGTTACAGGTATATGCCACTGTACCTTGTTTCATTCCTATTTATTCAATGGCATAATTTTGGAACATAACATAAGTAAGTTACTAGGAGTTTACTTTCCCACTGCCACTCTTGCCACTTCCAAGAGTAAATTAAATATTTTCTCCGCACTATGTATTTAGCATTATATGTATCCCAGAAGACTTCCAGGGAGAGAACTTAAAAGTAGAGCCTAGGTCATACTAGAGATACAATGATAATAGCTGTCACCCAGGTTTGGCATAATAATGAATAATAGCTACCATATGTTAAGTGCTTATAATCTACCCGGGTAAACGGCTACGGTATGTTCAAAACAATAACTCCTTTAATTATCCTAGCAACCCTATGAGACAACAAGCCATGTTTATTCTGKGGCTCAGTGTTCATTAGAAGACAGGGCTTCCTTAGGGAACATTGACCTTTAAAGAATGATGAAAATTGCATCCACTGTTTCTTCTTCCTAAACCTGTAACCCCTCCAAACCCCATCTGCCTCTTAGAGTGGTAAAATTAAATGGGGTATCAAACGGATGCCTTACTCCTCCATTTAAGTGGACAGCTTATTGGTCTACAGACAAGCTCTAGTTGCTACCTTCCCAAATGTGGATCTTAAAGTACAAAAGGAACAGAGACAAGTTCTGCAATGTAATCATAAAAGAAATGAATTAGATTCAAACCCAACCCTAAGGCACTTATGTACTTGTGTGAGGAATATTACAAATCTGTACTAAATATGGAAACCTTAAAATAAAGGTTAAAACTATTTTTTAAAGCAGTGTGCAGTGGTACACGCCTTATAATCCCAGCAGCTCGGCAGGAGGATCAGAAGTTCAAAGCCAGCCTCAGCAACTTAGTGAGGCCCTAAGCAATTTAGTAAGACCCTATCTCAAAAATAAAAAATTAAAAGGGATAGGGCTGGGGCTCAGTGGTTAAGTGCCCCTTGGCTCAATCCCAGTTTCAAAAACAAACACACATACACTATTTTTTTTAATACACAAGCATAGCTAAGGTTTACATGTAAACAGATAAAACAGCCATAATAAAAGATATATTTAATGATTAATAGCTGACTAGAAAATCCCAATGTAATCTTTGACATCTGATGCATCTAATTTTTAATGAAAAATGCAAAACAGATGACTGATTTAATTTCCCTTTTCTTTTTTTTTTTAAAAAAGCCCAGCTAATAAATATTTTAATACCTCTTCAGGCCTTCCCAAAGCTGGAGTTCCTGTAAGAAGAATGGCACGTCTTGATTTCTGTACCACTGGCAATAAAATCTTGGTGCGGGTTGCTGTTCTGGACTTCATGTAGTGTGATTCATCCACTATAACTACTTTAAAGTTCTGATTATTCAGTGCATCTATCAAAGTCAATGCATCTGTGGTTAAAAGACCATAACCCAGAACTGTCACTTTGCTGGTTGATATTCTCCTAGAAAAGAAAATCCAGTGATTAATTTATCATAAACATATAACTTTTTGGAGAAAAAATCATAAGAAAAAGGAAGAAAAGAGGAGAAGCAGGAGGAGATGGTATTGTTACCAAAAGTCCTTGTCCCTGATGCCAATCCAATAAGGAGGAAAAGGTTTTGAGAAAAAGAAGTCTTAATGCTTTGCTAGCAAAGGAGAAGCACAGGGGATTCTTGTTCCAGAGGCTCTGGTTCTGACCAACAGGGAAAAGAAAGGGCTTTTAAAGAAGYTCTTCAAAGGCTACGTTCCAGGTGTGCCCTGATGGTATGTTGAAATTCACTTTTTAATTTGGGAGATAGTCACTTCCTAGATCTTCAGGTTACATCTCCTTCCTATGGAAAACAGATAACTCAAGGTAATCTTATTCCCTGATCCCAGGTTAGGGAAAGGGAGAGGGAGAAGAGGAAAAGAAAAACATGTCCATAAGCAGCAAGGGTAATATTCAAAAGGTGAAGTGGGCCACTGTTACTGCTGAAACTCAATTTCTCTTTAAGATTTTATAGTTATTAAATATGATTAAAAACCAAGATCCAATATTTAAAATTTTGGTAGGCAAAACCAAAATTCTGGTTGAGTTATCTTTGGAATACCTGAACATTCTGAAAGCCACATTTTACTAAGATAAGAAAATTATTTTCTGACAACATTTTCGTGCACCTAGGATCATACAAAAAGTGCATATTCAAATATTAATTGAATCTTCAATGAAACCTTCCTACAAATAGAACAGCACTTTTTTTTAACCTGGGCGATATTAGTATTGTGCTTATCATAATACTTAGGAAAACAGGGCTATACAATTGTACTACAGGCCATTTCATATTCCTGATGCTACCCAGTAAAGGCCAATGGAGGGGCTGGGGTTGTGGCTCAGCGATAGAGTGCTTGCCTTGCATGTGAAAGGCCCTGGGTTCGATCCTCAGCACCACATAATAAATAAAATGGAGATGTTGTGTTCAAATACAATTAAAAAAATATATTTATATATATATATATTTTTTTTAATTTATATATATATATATATATATATATATATATATATATATATATATATATATATAAATCGCCAATGGAGTCCCTCAGTCATCCTCTGGCTCAAGGGTATTTTTAGAAGAGGAGGAGCTTACTATCTTATATAGAGAATCAGTTAGCAAAAGAGAATCCTGATCTTTTGATCTCCATAATTCACATATCTATAATATTTTATTCATTTACATATTTTTACATATTTTATATTTATATATCTCCATTACTGTAGAATGAGATTGTTAAAGGTAGAACATGAGTTTTATTGATATTTGTATATACAGTGCTTTGCTACCAATAAACACTTTTGGAATGAGATAAATAAATTCGTGAACATTAAAAGATATCACTTTTGCATTTTCTATATCACCAATGAAAAAATACAGAGGGCCATTCTCTACCCTCTGATAGAACATCAGAGCTCTTAAATGGTAACTATATTTTAAGCCCTCTATAAATCTACTTTATACAGAGACCTATGCTTCTCTTACTGTATTCAAACATCAAAAGAGCTTGCAGAAAAAAGTATAAGGTTAATATTACTAACTTAGGTATACTATAATAATACTTAAGAAAAAAGCTTTGAAGACCAATGCAGGAGCCTCTGTGGCTTCTATCTTGCCATGTCTTAACCAGTGCACAGTCTAGGCATAACTGCCATAATATGCCAGGGAAAATATATGTATTTGTCATAAGCACATGTTGGCACAGTTTGGTATGTACCTAAAGGTAGTTCATTAAGAATCTGAAAGACTAGGTAGTTTTTCTGCCCTTAGTTAATATCCTCCAGAAAACATACACTGGGGTTGTAGTCCTATCTAACATATCCCAAATATTATTCAAATAAAAGTATTAGCCACTATTTAATTTCAAGAGAGTATATTTCTGAAATGATAATAAAACTAGGTGATCTAAAGTCAATAAAAGATGCAGAGGAACAGAACACAACAGACACTAGTATGGCAGTATGTAAAAAAGTGGATGTGTAACCGATGTGATTCTGCAATCTGTATACGGGGTAAAAATGGGAGTTCATAACCCACTTGAATCAAATGTATGAAATATGATATGTCAAGAACTATGTAATGTTTTGAACAACTAATAATAAAAATTATTTAAAAAAGATGCAGAGGAGACATTTTTAAGAATATTTAAATGCAGACATTTAAATAATGTATAACAAAAAGAAAATGATTTAGGAATCCTCTTAATACATTCAATATCATCTAGATTATTGTCTTTTCAATTTGATGCAGTTTTATTGGAGAACAGAAAAATTTATGCATAATGATTGCCTACATTTTAATTTATTCATGCAAACAGTGGCCAAATTTCTTTGGACCCATAAACACATATGCTAATGAATTAGGGTTCCAATGTTGAAACCTATTCTCTGTTAACTCTTTCCACATTCATGAAGGCAAAGCTTTTTACACTATATACCAAGAGTCTTATAGAAGATAGTACAATGCAATAATACCACACACACATTAAAAAGTCCAAGTATTAATAGATATTTATTTTAGGTAGATGTATTGCTTTTAAACTTTGTGTGCTGCTTTCAAAACCAATAATTTGAATCTTTGAAAATGATAATTTAAATCAGTAAATTTGATTTATGAAATTTAATTTATGAATTTTTAAATCAGTTGATTATCCCAATGGTTATAAAGAAAATGAGAAAATATCCTAGCAATTCTATGAYAGATTTTTAGAATGTTGATTTCTAATATTCACTAAGCTAATGTTTTCATAATATAAATTATCAAAATTATAAAATAATATGAATAAAATTGAACTTGCTAATATTAATTTTGCATCACATAAAACTTGTGTATTAACTAACAACTTGGAAAGCAAAATTCACCATGGTTTCTGAACATAAAAGCTCATCCAGTTTCAAGTTAATCTTTGAAAAATTGTAAACTTTATTTTTGAAACCTAAAAGAGTTTTAAGCATATTTAAGGTATATGTAAAGTAAATACATATATCTTTAGAAGTATACRTATTTTATATTTACTTTTAAAATATAAGGGGTGGCTGGGCATGGTGGCGCACACCTATAGTCCCAGTGGCTCGGGAGGCTAAGACGGGGATTTGAAAGTTCAAAGCCAGACTCAGCAAAGGCAAGGCACTAAGCAACTCAGTGAGACCCCATCTCTCTAAATAAAATACAAAATAGGGCTGGGAAGGTGACTCAGTGATTCAGTGTTCCTGAGTTCAATCCCTGGTACCAAAAATAAATAAATAAATAAATAAAATAAAGTATAAGGGAACTTAGATTAAATATGTTAGTGTATTTTAGATAAATAATTCAAATTGTAAAATATAAAGTCAAATTCTTTACATTACTCTCTTACTGTTAAATGATGATCTAATTATAGGTTATATTCCATTCAAAACATAAGAATATACTAAATACACTCAAAAAGTTTTTATTTTCCTTAAAGATTAAAAAGTTGTTCTTACCCAACATCAGTTTTATTCTGAATAACATTGATTTCTTCAGGTTCTAACTCTGGAATCCACTTCTCTATTTCTTCTGTCCATGAGCACCTCAGGGATGAAGGCACCACAATTAAAAGAGGCCATTCCTCTTTATAGAAGTAAGCAATTGCAATGGCCTGGATTGTCTTTCCTAGACCCATCTAAATTAAAAAAAAAAAAAAAAAGTGTCAAAAATAAAGTCTAAGATATTTTGAAAGAAACATTTACCAAAAACTTTTATCAAAATAACTTTTCAATGCAAAATCAGTTGGATCACACAGTTAATAAAAAGCCTAAGATTAACTATAGGGACCTTTAAAATTCATTAAACAAATTGTTATTTTTCAAACTACTTGTGATTGGACTTAGAGACAAAATGACTCCTAAATTTAAATATTGGTTATACATATTTTACAGAATTTAGTTTTATAAAATATGTGTGAAGGACTATGCAAAATAATATTCCTACAAGACAGCCCCTGAGGAAAAACACATAGTGTGGCTCAGGAGGAGAGAGGGAAATAAGCCAAACATTAAACCTCTCCCAGTATATCCTTTCTTAGTAACAATGGGCCCCAAGGGAAAAAGCAAACTTTCATTTCTTCCTAGGTTCATCCCCAGCACCTCCACCGAAAGCAAACACCCCTTCCCAACCATAGTGGGTCCTGAAGGTAGGAAGTAGATACTGAACCGCTGGGCCCTGAACTTGCCAATGAGTCCTAGAGAGAAAAGCAAATAGTGCAGCTCTAGGTAACAATGGGTTCCAGAGGAAGGAAGATATGGAGGGAACACAAGCTCTCAGCTTTTCCCAGTGACAATGAGTTTCAAACTTGTTACAACTGTCTTCCTAAGTTAAAATCTTAACCTGCACAACTAGGTCTCTGATTGTCCGAACAGCACATCTACAGTCTCCAATAATTAATTCACTCTTATTGTAAACTATAAAACTCAGACTTCTTCTGTAACCTGCAGGCCATTTCCATACCCAGAAAACGAGCCCTTCCATGCCTGATTAATTGACTACACTTGGGAATAAAGAAAAGCTGGGTGACCCATTTGAGGTTTGTTTCTGTCTCGGTTATTTGTATTTTCATTATGGTGCCAAAACCATGTTGGTTATTTTTGCTTACAGTATGATCATTTATAATTTCTCAGAAAAAACAACAATAAATGCCTTACCTATATAGCACAAAATCATGTTATTTTAAAACTAGAATAAGCCCTAAATCATACACATTTTCTTAAAAAAAAAAAAAAAGGCAAAGAGCAGTTCAACTCTCTGAATCATGGAGAACTGATATAAAATTGGTATGAGATTCCATGTTTTATGATGTCTTTCCACTCAGTCTTTTTCCATACTATCACACTGCCCAATTGATCACTCTTGGGCATCTCTAAGCAATTCCTATTTTAAAAAGTAGTTCCTAAATGAATGTTTATTGTGATTTGGTTCGTAAAAGCCAGAAACTGAAACAAACTGAAATGTTCTTCAACTGGCATATGGATATTCAAATTCTGGCATATTCATACAATGAAATACTATTTAGAAATAAAAAAGGTGCAAACTGGAATGGTGGCATAGCTCAGTGGTAGACTGCATGCTTAGAATGATGGTAGCTCTGGGTTCAATCCCAGCACTACCTTTCACCACCAAAAGGTGCAAGCTTTTGCTCTATATAATAGGATTCCATTTCAATATCATTCTGGAAAAGGCAAAACAACAGGGACAGATAGCAGATCAATGGTTGCCAAGGACTAGTGGTGGAGGAATGGAGCAACATAAGGAACTTTTGATATATAGCTGGTCTACACTTTTATTTTAGTGGCAGTGACATTATCACAGAAGAGCAGGGAGCTGAAGCTCCAAACCTCAGTCCCTCTGTTCAGAGGAAAGAAAATTTAAAGCCAGACACTGAAAGTCAAGCAAGAGAATTTTATTCAAGTTGAAGGATTCGGAAAACAAAAAACCCCAGCAAGAAAGTAGGTCAACAGGTTGGGAGAGAAGGAAAACAACAGGCTCTAAACTCTCACAATCAATGGTTCAACAACTGTTTTCCTGACTGCTCAACAACACTTTCTGCTTTAATTAAGTCTCTAATGATTAAGTCACACTAATATTCTTCTACGATTAACTCTCACTTAACCCCTATAAAAATCAGACCCCTTTTGTAACCAGTTTCCATTTTCTCTCCTGAAAATGTGCCATTCCATTACTTTAATAGAAAGCTTGCTGATCTGTTGAAGTCCTGTTCCCCATTTTGGTTATTTTTGCTTTCACAAGTGAAGGTTCAGTGGAAGCAAAATGAGAGTTGGGTGAAAAGTAGAGTCAGGCTCAAGCACAGAGCATTTTCAAGGGAGAGAGTTCGACATCTCTGAGCAAGAATGAGAAGGAAACAATGCTGTCTCCAAGATTATTGCTGTTTGATGTTTGACCCGGGAGGTGGGGACCACCTTCTATACTCTTTGCCAATCAGGTATTCAATTCCTCTTTCCCACAAGGCATCTGAGTTTCTGACCCTGACTGATCCTTCCAGGAATTGTCTCTTGTGTCTTTTCCATTCAGTGGGGCTTCATTTACAAGTCAACACCATGTTAATGTGGGCACTGGGGTCAGTAACCTATCATAAGTTATCCTAGTGCTACTAAAGGAATTTCCCTTCCAAGACATGAAGATACCTGTAGCCCTAACTATTAGCTCACCTTAACATCAACCTCAATGAATCTTGTCAAGAGTTAGCTCCATTTTTGATGCATTTCCCCAAATTAGCTCCTTTTGTTTTCCTTTGCTTACTCTCAACATCTGTGTACCAATGTTTTTTTTTTTTGTTTTTTGTTTTTTGTTTTTTTTTTTTTAACAAGTTATCTGCTACAAGTCTTAGTAGTAATTTAAGGAAAACTTTAAGAGTAACTTAGAGTAAACCTGTGATTTGCTATGTAACCAATTGCTCATCTCTACTAACTAACAACATGACTGCTTGCATTTGCAGAACTCATAGAATTGTATATTAAAAACAAGTTAACTGGGCAGGGGCTGTAGATCAGTGGTAGAGTGCTTGCCTTGCATGTGGGGCACTGGGTTTGATCCTCAGCATCACATAAAAATAAATAAAGATATTGTGTCCATCTACAACTAAAAAAATATTGTTTAAAAAAATACAAGTTAACTTACCTAGAAGGGTAAATTATATCTCAATAATCCTTAACATTTAAAAAAGTAATTGCCATAGTGAACAATTGGAAAAAAGACTAAAAGAGATTCTGCTTAATGTCTATTTAAAGTGAAAAAGAAAAAAGAAAACTAAAACAATGAGTTTTAAATGATGAGCAAGATTAAAGAAAAGAGAAAAGGGTGGTCTTGGCTTTTCAAAAAGTCCCTATTATGAAAACCTGTTTTATGTATTTTTTTAAATTACTACTATTAAGAAAAACAAAAAAATCACAATCATTCAAGAAAAGTTACATTTTACAAATGAAACTTCAAAGATTAATAAGAAAACTGTATGGATTTGCTGTGTAAAATATTCTTTTGCTAGATAAAAGACCACCAAAAAGAAATATATTAAATGGAATTTTGGAAGTAAAAGTCTTTTGGTCCTTTCTAATACCCCTCATATTTTCTTATTTAATTCCAGATAGCACAAATGAAAAAAATTATAGAGACCTTGGATGGTATTACTTTCCTCCAAAAGAAATTAGGTTAAGCTTTCTTTTAGCAGGTAGACAGAGTACAAGTAGATATCTCACTCCCAATACTTGGTGTAAAGCTTTTTAAAGGCAGGTTTATTTCAGTTGTGCCCTTATTTCCAGGGCCTGGTATTCATTTCTAGAAAGTGGCTACTTGGGAGATCAGGAGAAGCCCAAACAGGGTACTTATCAAGAATTTGCAACCTCAGCAAGGTTCAGTTCTGATCTTGGTCTCCTTAGCACCACAATATTGCTGACATTTTATTTAGTGCTTTGTCCTTCCAATTCCAAATTCCTGAGATGTATGTATAGTTTAGGAGATGGCCAATGATTTCAGGGTAATGTGTATGAAGATTTGGGGGGATTCTTCTCCCAAGTTACCTATCCTCTGAGGTTTTATTTTCATGTGTAAATGGCACAGTAAACAGTTTGGGAATCTGAACAGTTTCTGATAGAAACAGATGAAAGCAGCCTGTTTTTAACCACAATGCTATGGTTTTAAGAAGAAAGAACTGAACATTCTCTGATAGATTCAGCAATGGAAGAAAAAAAACCAAAAGGATGCAATAAAAAGTAGGACTTTTAAGGCTGATGTCTTCAAGCCCCTTATCCAGTTTTGCCCCAATTCTGAGCAAGTTGATAACAAAGTGTGGGTGCTACTTCCTTTGGCACTGGTGGGAAATGAAAACTATGTAAATCCTGGCCCACATGGTGTGACTCTTCACTCTAACTTCTCCCTGTAAACCTAATAACAAACCAAATCAGTCTCCTTTCTTTGTTCTTTCAAGGCATTTTCATATGTGATTGGGAGCCTGATCTGCTCTCCCCAGGAAGTCTTATTACACCACTAATAAATATACTTTTTCATAACCTCCCAGCATCTGTGGCATCCTCATTCTTGACACTGGAACCAAATTTTGGGTGGAAGAGTCCTCTCTGTCTCTTCAGGGTGACCACAACGCAGGGAAAATCACTGTTCAATACTTATAACTGGCATTATGACTCTTATGAAAAGATTTCGTTGAATCTTGTTAGCTTTAGGGAAAAATCTCAGAATTTGGTTAACTTGGCATCATCAAAAAGAATTAATTTCTTAATCTGGCCATTTCTTAATCCACCTGAAGATGATATCCTTCATCATTAGAGAATTCACCTAAAATTACTTTTACATATGTTTTTATCAATCTATCTTTCTTGGTAACAACTTTAAACATTTAATTATTTCTTTAGTTAAAAGATCATATAGTTAAATGATAACAGATAATTCCTAGAAATTAGAAAGATTTTTTATCAACATAAAGTATTTAGTCACCAACTTTTATGGTATTTGTTGTTGGTAATTCATTTTTAGGATATCTTATAATAGTAGATAAAGTTTGATGGGACAAACTAAAAAGGGACATASAAGATAGAAGTATATAAGGTAAGCTCACATTCCCATTAAGGAAAGAAATTAAAAACAGTATAAACTACCATA